TCGTTGCATTCCTTGCGGGAAAAACGCAAGAAAACGGCGTTCTACGCGACTACATATAATTCTTGTAAACAATTCGTATCCTCCAAGAACACTTGTTTTTATGTGACAGGATATCTCGCTTCATCCGTCGGCTCTGCTCAGTGATGGAAGCAATGCGCTACATACTTAATTGTCTTGGCTTTTTACATGTCTATCTTTTAAGCAGACTGGGTCCATATTTCAAGGAAACGGCATGCACGAGAAAGTAATCGAAAATGAATCAAAGTCATAACTGTTACAAAATAGCTGAAGTGTGACCAGTTTATATTTAATGGAATGTCATTTACTACCTCCAAACTGTTATCTTTCTTGCTGAAATTACGTTGGTTTATTGTCGAAAAAAGCTAATTACGGTTCATTTTAGCTCCTTAAGGGGGCAGTCTTTTATAGACTTCACTGACATGGGCTTTTGCTTGTAAGTTTTGTACATGATAAAAGTCACTGCTCAGCTTCAAACCAAACAAATGGGTTGCCATTTAACCACAAGAGCTTCAATAGGAAGCATTCGCACGACGGGGCAAATATCGGTGTGGTTTTACATTGTCCATAAAAAACCGTTCACGCAGCACTGAGTCACCGCCGTTATACATCATCAAGAACGCTGGCAGCGTCAATTTTTCGTGACGCATTGTGTATACGTATAGTGCATAGAACAGCTGTTACTTCTCATATTCTTTTTATTTGCTGGTGTAAAGCATTCATTTTCTACTTTATCACTGACGTGCAATAAACTTTTCTTCAACAAGAGATGTTACACCAGAAACGCCTCACATCTATTGTATTGTGATGTCGTTGTGACTATGAGGAAAACGGTACTGTTGCAGGTGGTGACGAAACTCAGATGAATATATGTCATTTCAGGAGCCTGAAACACGCGACCTGTGAACACCTAGCTTGCTGCCCGCGGGCCTCACAAGGTTATGATCGTCCCATATTTTGGTTGTGTTCTCGATAAGCATGTGCGTGAGCCACACAGTCGTGACTGGTCTAAAGCAACGTTTTCGTGAGTCACTCCATGTGGTCAACATGTTTGAAGCGTAGCCATAAAACACAAACAGTATTTCAGGATCGGCGTCCAGATTTTCCTTATATTGAAAATCGGTATCGACGTGCTGTTGAATGAAATGTTGGCCCCAATATATCAGAAGTGATACGTACATGATGACATATGCCTGAGGTTGTCTTTTCAGTGGTAACGTTTGCTGACAATATGTACGAACACCCACCCCCGTTTTTACATTCTTCACTAGCTCTGGCGGAACTATATATACATTCTTTGATAGCGGCCCCCTGCCTGTGATGAATTCGAGGGCCCTGCTTTATCTACATAATTTGTGCCCAGATGAGTGAGTAACTCGAAGTACAAGCTGAAGAAATATTAAGGAATCAATTCACATGGACAGAAAACTGCCCCGCCGCGGTGGTCTAGTGGCTAAGGTACTCGGCTGCTAACCCGCAGGGCGCGGGTTCGAATCCCGGCTGCGGCGGCTGCATTTCCGATGGAGGCGGAAATGTTGTAGGCCCGTGTGCTCAGATTTGGGTGCACGTTAAAGAACCCCAGGTGGTCTAAATTTCCGGAGCCCTCCACTACGGCGTCTCTCATAATCATATAGTGGTTTTGGGACGTTAAACCCCACATATCAATCAATCAATCACATGGACAGAAAAAAAAAAGGCGACAGGATAGGACGCATTTCTTTTTTTCTGTCTGCCAACTGGCCCAACGACACATTGTAGCTAAGTACGAGCACAGCGGCAAGAAAAGCCGCTGGTCATGGGTAAAGAAGGTATCGCAATTTCATCTCAGGCAGTGAACCGCCGTCACAAAATTCACTTCCGCAGGGGCCGGTTCATGAAAAGGAAGTAAAGGAGGCAGAACGTCGTCTTGCTTTACATAAATCACGGTGTAAGAAACACAGATCACTGGTAACACCTTCCAGCGTTATCTCTGGCAATTGTCAAAGATGACTAAGGTCCCTAAAGAAGTAGTGTATACTCGCGTACTGTGCGCAATAATATTATTATCAGGAATTGACAGGAATTTACGTTTAAAGGTCGCCGTATACCTGTAGGGCACGCAATAAGGCTCCGGAAAGCGTTTCCACAATCTGGTGTTCCTTAAAATACACCCACAATTAAGCACAGTTTCATCTAGTTTTTCTCTTCTATCGAAGTGCAGGTCACGGAAAGCGATCCCGGCTGCGGCATGCTTCATCTGCGATGAAAGCGAAAATGTTTGAGGCCCGTGTACTCAGATTTAGGCGCAAGCTAAAGATCCCCAGATCGTTGAAATTTACGGAGCCCTCCACTATACGGTGTCTCTAATAATCGTACAATGGTTTTCGGACGTCCAACCCGATATATAATTTTTTTATTGTCCATTGAAATGAGGCAGCCGTGGGCAAGATTTGTGCATAACCTTGAAAAGAACACGCCGAAAGAATCTAGCAGATTTCGAAACACGTCGGCGAGGTTTCGCTGAGTGCTGGTTTCAGTGTTTGCGGCTTATGAACCCGATCACAGCAAAAGCAAGACTAACAGCGCGTGGCAGTATATCTGCACAAATGGTTGCAGGACACCGCCGCCTTTCACGCTATTGCCTCCTACGCTTTAAGGCAAACGGTTGTTAAAAGAGTGTATGGTACACCTCCTACAATTTTTTTTCGGCCTTTCATTCGAGTCACTTATGCTGTTGTATTCTCCCCGTTCAAAAAAGCCGATTTTAAATTATTCAACCTCCCATTCTTAAGTCGTAAAGCCAAGAATCGTGGTTAGTCTTTTGAATACAACTGTTGCAAAGTCAAGCTACCAGAAAATGTCATGTGTTTTTTTTTTTCAAAACAAATAACTACATTGCGAGATACTCCATTCACCGCTTATGTTCTGGTGTAAGAGGACTCACCGACTAAGAAAGATGCTCTAATAATGCTGCAAGAAAGCTGCAGCGGTTCGCGGTTATACCATTTGTACATAACGTTTTTGCAGGTTAATAAGGTGCGATTTAAACTTTATGTTCTTCTCATCTCCACCAAGAATTGCAGCAGTTGTGTTCAAAGATTGACATGAAAAACGAAATAAAGGTAGGCCCCGCAAAGACGGGATGCGGTGTCAGTCATGCCAATCGTTTTACTGTAACTGTCGAGCGATCGTGGTTTACTGCATTCTATCGTCTTGCAGCAGGGTGTATATCGGGCAGCCTGGACGTTGCCTGATTGTGCGCTTGTCAGAGCATTGCAACGCGCTGAGGTCTGCACCAAGTTTGCGCTTGTGCGCACAGCGCTGCAAAAGTGTGGTTGCGTACCAAATTTAACACGCACCTCTGTTTTGTACGCCCATTATGACGCGAAGACAAGGAAGATAGCTGAAGTGTGTTTTTTTTTGTTATAGAGAAGACTACTGATATTTGTTTCAGTTCACCGTTGATATCACTTTCAGATTGTGAGAGTTCGTTTCTTGGCTGCACTTAATGACTAGACCTAACGTTGTTCCAGCCCCGGGTACCTGTCTTTCCTCTTTCCCTCTCATCTTGTCTATATTTCTGACATACGATCAAACGCAAATATCAGACAGCGCTTGCTTGCGTACCTTGTTACTTAGTCCCATTAGTTCGCGAGGCAAAGTTGCCATAATGAATCTACACCAACCAGAACGCTTATCAAGCCTTCCGGAAAGCACTTATATTATCGGCTTGAAGAAACACACATAGTTCAGTTGCGCTAAGAGCAACATGGCGTCGCGCTGTGTGGTAAAACTAAACAGTGACTGCACATTCAGCAAACTTCAAAGATGGCATTACCACGCAGTGTTCACCTATAGTGTCCAAGTAAATGGCATCTTGCCGTGTCCTATGTGATTATATGAAGTTTCTTAAATCGGGCCAACACTGTGCTTGCTGTAACCACGCTACGCAGCAGACAGCAGAAACAGCAATTGGAAAAGATATTTATAGGGACAATGAAATGATTCTTACGATCTTCCGCAGACATATGTGGCTGGTTGACTAAGTCTTAAGGGTAATTTATTGACTAATTTAAGCTCTTCGTGTGAATTTTGTGATTTATTACGGCGCTTTAAAATGGGAATCGCTGCAGATCACTGCGGCTCAACGAAAACGTGTTTTCAACCATCCATTCAAAGTACGACATCTTCTGCCAGCGCTACGTCAACCAGGCTGCTGATCTGATTGGTTGTGGAATGAGCGAAAGTAAAATCGGCTGGTATATAGGGTGGCGGCACCGGTCGGAGCAGATATCAGCCCCTCCGCAATCTTCGTCTCTGTTGCCAGACAGCGTGCGTGCTGCCCGACGAACTGCATGCCTCTAAAGTTAGTATATGCTACTATAGTGAACTAGAACCGACATCATCGGAGCCATCATCATCAGAATCAGAACCAAGAGATGATGGTTCCAGTTCACTATATACGCTACTTAAAGGTAGCATATAGAAGAACTCTGTCTCTGAGATTGCGCTCTATACATGTCGGCGTGCAATCTCAGAGGTCTAGACTGGGCGAAACTAAAACCGTCGAGTGTGCTTATACAGCTCTGCGATCGCCAGCGTGTCTAATGACTGTAGGACAAATGCCAGATGTAAGAATTAGGGTATTATATAATTGCCCGTATCTGCCTTGGTACACGGCGAGTCACTAAATATGCGGTGAAAATGGTTTGCCTGAATGCCGAGAAAGCTTCGAAAAACCATTTGAAGGTGATAAGTGTTTCACACGTTTACCATGTCATAAATCGCACAACAGTGGCAATATGCACGTACAACCAATACCTTGAAATTGTAGTTGATCGCTTAGTTCCTTCTTATTCCTATGCTTCGCTTCCTGTTCATCTAAATCTACTTTCACTGGCCTCTAGCTCTTCCATTTTATGGAAATGCGGGCGTGATTCTATCCCATGCTTGTCCCACAGTTACGGCGTAACACTACAGAGCACGAATAAGTGCAACAATACTAACTGAAGGAAATGACGTGTATTATTGACAAAATCACCAGGAATATCCTTTGTAGCATAACTGCTGTGAAACCGCATGCGAGCAGCAGCAAAATATTAAAAACAAAATATGACAATCAAGATTTCTTGCTTGACGAGTTTCGGCAAAATAAAATAGTTTCAGAACTGATAGAAGTAGCTCTACTGCTTCGGCAGTGCTGGAACATGTGGGAAGCCTTCCACGGCAGATTTATGAACTTCCCTCGTAAGACCGAGCTGCATTTGCCAACAGGAAATAATTGTTGCACGTTACTCAAATTCCACGAGCACGTACAGAGTGTTTTTTATGATGTAGCCACCAAGTTCAATGTCCCCCCAGCTCTTCTTCCCCGTTTCGTATCCGCTGTTGCAATTATTAGGGCGTGGTTTCCTTACAACACTGGAATGATTGACGCGCAACGGGAGCCGAACATCCTTGGTCGCGTCTCTAGGGTGTGCGATGATCACCGTAACCTTTTTCGAGAAGGGCCACTCGACGTAGTCATCCCAATCTCCAGACTTGAGGTACATACTGAAGCTCACGCTCACCCCATCATTGCCTTCACCCGATAACAAAAAGTTTGCATTCAAACGAAAGGTATAACCACTTAGGATGTGAGGCTCACTAACTGCCTTGTGCTCTTTCTTAGCCTGAGTCAGTAAGTTGCGTGCAGCGTACACATCTCTGAAGTCGCAAATAGTGATGAACACGCCGGGCTTCGATGCGGAACGGTAAGGCCCGGGAGCAGGCGATTTCGAAGAGTCAAGCGAAGCACTTTTTCGATGGAATGCGCTCGCCTTTTCCTGCGCCAAGGACAGTGAATGATCAAGGCTGGCGACTCTTTCGATTAATACGTTGGCAGTGTTTACAAGATCATCGTGGTCATTGTCATCGAGTTCACCCAACGCCTGCTCTCGCAAACTCTCGAGGTCTTTTTTCATGACTCGGATTTCTTCGATGGCCCTCTGCACTGGCAAGTCATACACCGAAACGCGCCAAGCGTTTCCGTCGATACATTGTCTATAGTGATCCAGCGCCACAACACGCGCGACGAGTCGGTTGCACTTGGCACACTTCACGTCCATGCTGCGGCAGCGACGCATGTGGTCCCTCAGCTCGGACAGCTGGCCGTCGAAGGCAGCACACTGCCTACCAGCAAGAATGCACACAACGCGTCGCTGCTCGAGGTCGGACAGTTCGAAGCGCAGCCGAACAAGTTGTCGTTCCGAGAAAACTCTTCCGTCGAAAGGGCATTTAGCTTCGCGGCACACTTCTTCAAGGCACAGTTCGCAGAAAACGTCACCGCAAGGCAACACTACCGTGGTCGAAGGCAAGCGGCCGCAGATGCCGCAGACGCGGCTCGCTGGCATCGGCTCCGTGAAGGCAATACGTCTCTGGTCGAGAAAATCACTGAAGCCTGTGAGCGTGTACTCCCAAACCGCGGCAGGGTTCTGCGCCATCGTTCAGCGCCGAGTTAGCAAGTGAGCTCCAGAACTCAGAGGCGTTGCTTGAACTGATTACACGACGCGCTCAGCGAAACCACTCGAAACGCCGTAACGTCCGCGACACCTAGATTACTATATACTACTGAATCTGGCGCCGCCAAGCGATTGCAGGGGTCACGAGACACGGAAGGTGTATGGCCTTATAAGGCGCGAAAAACTGGAGCCATAGGGGAGAACGAAAGGTGGCAGACTTTGCGGAAAGTAGATGCTGATGAGAAATAGAGATAAGGGATGAAAAATTTCTCGCTGAGCACGTAGATTCGGTCAACCAGAAAGGAGGCACTGTGGCCCTCGCACGGGTACTTCAAGAAACGCACTTGTCACGATGACGACGATGCAAGGCGCCGTAGTGAGAAGGGGAATAAAGACAATGATAACAGCGTGTCTGAAAACTTCCCGTGATAATGCCGCAACAGCAGACCGTGTCTGCCGAGTGGCTGCTTTTGGAAGCATACATTGCATGCTTGTTATTGTTGAACTACTTGGACGCCATCATCGCCGCGATACGCTATAGGCGTGTTCAGCAGCGGTGACGTCTACTTCGAAAGCGCCTATACCTGCACTGGAAACGAAATATTAGAACGCCACCTGGTTTGTCATTCCGATTTTAAGGCAAGTTTTTCCCCTGCGGCTGTGCGCTTGAGAACTGGAAAGCACTGCATTATGCAGAAGGCGTTCATTGTATTGTACGACAGTATTCGGTGGCGCAGTGCTCGTCCTACGCACTTCAGCCTAGTTGCAACCTTCGCAAACTGCAAAGAGCGATAATATGCGGGGAGCTTGGATTTTGAAACTTGTAGAAAACGTAAACAGCCATGCGGCTACAACACGCACGTGCAACCAACGTTTTCGCGAGGAATATTTCAGCCGCATCAGGTGGCTGCGATGTTCGATGGTTACCAGGAGGCGTTGACGGAGACGCTTGGTCTACCCCCAGGAAGTTTTTTTTAAATAAATTGCTGGATTGGAAGCTGCCGCAATGCTTTGCCAGCAGTAGTGAAGCCAGCTTTTGCCCTCCAAAGATCTTAAAAACATGCTATTTTTGTTGGTGGTGCCCACTTAAATATCGAATGGCTTTGATTTGTTAGTCTTTAGACTACGTTAACTATTAACAAGAGAATAGTTGTTTTCGAAGAAATAATCCGCAGAGACTAGTACAACCTAAGTGACTTTATCTCCAAAAAAAATTGCCCTAAATTCGAGGAATCGTAAAGAATACTAGTAACACAAAGACGCACTTGAGCAATATATCTGACCCGAAAAGGTTGCCGCATTAAATTTGTTGGGCGTGCGAGTAATACGCTCCTTCTCGATCGCTGAACGCCAACAGCTCATCCTGCCCCTAGTAAGATGGCTACCACAGCCACCATTTTACGTTTGGCAGGGCTTCACTGGTGAACAAGAATTCCCACTGCATCAATTTCTTTAAACCTCTTTGATCTGCCCGTGCACGCTGGCACGGGAGAGGGTATTCAAATGGGCGAGCATGGGTGCTCGCCAGATTACCCCTCAGCCGGCGCCTTGAGAACGTAAATGCGCGGCATAGCGGCCCAAAGATAGCAACACAATTTTTGATCGTTTCTTTTTGACAGGGGTAGGCAATGCGACTAAGAGAATGAGCGGGATTAGAAACTTGACCATCGGTGTAAAAAGACCGATACTATGCTGATCTCTGCGACGTTCATCGCTCGAAACAAATTGTTTTTTCTTCAGGATAATTGAAACGTTAATCTGTACCCGTTGTTTTCTGTACTACGCAGGGTTTTCAAACACAGGGTTATTTTTAGACAAGCACTCTTTGAAAAAATAAGCATATTCATTAATTACTAACCATTTACTTGTCACAAACACCACTTACATCGTAGTAAGTCACCGGAGTAAAATGCACGTTAGTGAAATCCACCCCTTCATTGCAGTGAACAGCACCATTTCAAAGTGTTGGTTTTATAGTGACTTGTTTGTAACAGTCCTTGCGATTAGTAACAGTGCTTACACACTTAGGCTATAGTTACTCAAACGAGGGTTATGCCTGTTTGGTTTATATCACCCGTGTAAATGGTCATACCGAGTAGATTCTGTTACGAGAAGAATATGTAAGATTAAACGAAGAAATCACAACATATCCACGAAGTGAATAATGATGAGGGAGGCGAAGCGTCCATCTATCCATCCGCCCGTCTGTCTGTTGGTCCGCCCGTCTTTCTGTCCATCTGTCTGTCCATGCATCCGTAGGTCTGTTTGTTTATCTGTTTGTCCGATACTGCCGGTTACGCCTGACGCAGGACAAGGTTACTCCAAGAGGAGCTTTGCCTCTAAAATGAATCACTACAGCGTTGTCCCGTTGCCTTCATCGCTAGCTGCTTCATGTAAATAATTAAGACACATAAGAACAACTTACACGGATATATGAATGGACCCCAAACGAGCATACGCAATGTTTCAAGAATTCACGCGTACTCCACTTTATGTTTTTATTTGCGTCTATACTGACGCAGCCCTAATGTGGTCTGCAAGCCATTAATGTGGCCATCTACATGCATGAGAATGAATAATTTTCGCGACTGTTCTGCAGCCGTGTCACACTCAAAATTACTCTCCCAGCCAAGTTTTGATCATAGACTTCAGCATACAAGCTTCGGATGATGTGTGTCAGTTAAAGTGCAGTACTCTCGAATTCCTCTAAAATAGACACTGAAGGCACCAGTACGCATTCACGAAAATAGGGGTTCATAAAAACATGCATACGTCGTCGCCCTGCTAATATAAACACTTTATATACAAAAAACATTAACCTCAATCCGGTGTATGTCTCTTAGCGGTTTTAAAAACTGTGAAACTGATTAACTTTATAATTAAAAAAAAACTATACGTACACCGTACCTGTGCTGCGCGTGTTCGTTTGCCAATTCTGCTGGCTTAGTTCGATTCCTTTATTCGGAGTTTTAACACAACGACAAATGACGCGTGATGTCGTTGAAATTATAAAATGTTCGTTACAGGCAACATGAGCCATGCAAAAAAAAATCATCGTGTCACACAACCTTAAGACGTTATCATGACATCACAGACCACCAAAATGTGCGATGTCAAATGATGACGTTATCAGATGACATCGTCGTTTTGACACCTGTATCGGCGCACAGCAGGCCCATAGCAGAAAATTTATTCGGAGGGTCGCGCCCACAAGACCTTTTTTTTTTATCGAAACACACTTTAGTAACTCTTTTTTGACATTTCACTCATTTGATATTCATTGACATTTCAAGGAAGGGGCAAGGACACTCCCCCCCACCTTTTTTTTTTAATTGCGAATCATTTCTTAGTGAACTTAGGCGACTTTGAGCGTATCTATCTATCTCTCTACCTAGCTATCTAGCCGCTTACATTTGGGTGCTCTCGTGGCCATCCACTTGGCGAGAACCAAAATCACCATTGAATGGTAAGATGATTTGACGAATATGACGCGCTGGTCAATACATGAGTAATGCCACAATCCCGTCGTGTACGTCGTCAAACACTTCACGCGAGACATTGGCACATATCCACGGGTGGGTTAGTGCCGCTGGTATGTGCGTATGTGCCCCAGGTGATTGACACTTGAGATCTACCCAGATATGACGAGAACACACGTGGACAATTTTAACGCACGAGCTTTAAGAAATACCCGACATCGGTAGCGTCGACCGGAAGAATGCAAATAATAAATGTCATGGTCCCATCTGGAATCAAACCCATGGCAAGCATTTACGGGGCAATGAAGCGTTCTACCAGAGCTATGCCGGATCTCAGAACTACTTTTCAAAGAGACGCCAATCCTCCTGCAACTTAAATTGTGGTAGCAGTGTTGCCTACCCAATTTCATAAACATTACATATGTACTCCTTTGATACAGCCGTCACGTCGGGCTAACGTTAATTGTGGTCAGATACCATGTGCTGACGTTCATTTATGTAGCAGTGTCCAGAGCCAGCATCTTTGCGAGCATTGGCGCTTCATATCAGCTTCTGATGTTGATAATAGTACGCATGTTGCAGTTGGCATCGTTGCCCAAGTGCGAACAACTGGTTATATAAACATGTGCAACTCTTCAACATATGTCTGTGCGTACAATATTTGTACATACATTTAGCGTCATTTCATGACGTGTCGCTCAATAAAAAATTTGCAACATGGTCACCTTCCTTCCGCATGCTTCGCATAACGTCAATTTCCAGGTATGTGGAATCTGCCAAACTTTTCCCTTTTTACTGCATGCCTGACGCACATCGTAGTTCTTGCGGAGCTGTGAACCTATCCGGGTTGTGTTCAACTAAAGAATTCTTCAATTACTACCCGCTCTGCTTGTTAATTGCGCTATTATGACACTGGTAAAATTTGTGAATTTCGGAATCGACCGGGTCAGTGAGCGTCATTAGTATCTAAAATGTGGCAACCGTGTTGGTAAATTACGAGTGATTCGTAAACGTCCATGCAGTCCTGTTGCTTTTACTTGTTTCGCGAAACTGCAATAAAGCAGGCAAAAAATTGGGATGATGGGCTCAATTTTCCTGCAGAGGCTCTTAAAGGAAGACCATTTAAATGACAGTCTTCGTCCAAACGTATTTGGCTAGTGCATCCACATTCATCTTGCGGCAATGGCTAAAGAGTACTCGACCTTGCCTTATACTTTCGCCTTTGCGTTGTGCGACACGGTTTCACGTCGTGAATCTATAATAAGGCCGCAATCATTATCACACCTTGTAGTGTCTCGCGATGGGGTCGCGACGTTGACGAAATAAGAAGCCCGCGGTTTCGACTCGAAAACATTTGTTCGGGTGGACCTGTGCATGGTAAACAGAAAGCCATACTGCAAGCGATATGCACTGACAGCTGTGAACAGAGCGTCCGCCGTTGATGAACTGATTTGAGGTAAGGTTATCCCGCATTTGCAAGTGCGACGTCGAAGGTTCTAGCGCTGTCGTGGATTCTGAAGATGAAAAAAAAACTTGAACATTCGCGTACTCCGCATAATGTTTACATGATCATAGACTATCGCGA